ATAACATTCGGGATAAAGGTCTGCAAGCAGACCCTGTAATCTATGTGAAAATTAACATAACAAGAATTATAATTGTATTGGCTTTTTTTTAAATTGTAGCACTCTTTCAAAAACAATTGTAAAAGGAGCTAAACGTGCAGGGAAAATGACAATTGGCCGACAGTACTTATTGAAGAAGAAGACGGGGACAATTGTAGAAGAAAGGGCAAATCGTCCTGGGTGCAATGAGGAGGATGATATCTCAGGTAAGAAGGCATTATCTGAATGCTGCTAACATGCTCTGCTCTTCAGTGAGCTTGCTTCATCGATGTTGCTAATACCAAATGAGCAAAATATTGCAACTTTAGTTTCAGATGACAGTGAAATGCACACCAGTGGTACTTTGAAGGCATCAGAAAAATCAACCATGGAGCAGCTAGTGGAGAGAGCATGTTTCAGAGATTATCAGCGTTTGGGATTGGGGACCATCAGCAATAGCTCTTCTCGCTCAAAAACAGAGTACTTCCGAATAACTGCATTGAATAGAATGTATTCTCTTTGTAGAAGGTGAGCAAATGACATGTCATCGTTATTTAAAAAAATTAAGTCATATGACATACAGTTCATTAGCCACTATATACATCGCAGATGGCACACTGCAAATGAAAGAAGGTTTTGTTTTTTTAAAAAAAAATCACTCGGGAATTTTGCTGATCTTATTTTGAGTTTTTAGGGGGGTTTTCCCTTCCGCATCCTTGGCATTTCCAAATAGTAATAATCCCTGCTTATTTGTGGTTTTTAATACTGCTTAATAGTTTTAATTTTACTTGACTGAAAGCTGGCAGGAGTGTTTTAATGTGGGTTTTATATTGCTTTTTTGTTTTAATTGATCGACTTTATTGTTATATCAGGTTTAATGTCGTATTGTTTGCCATCTGAAGTGTTTTTGGGAGAAGTAGATAACAATTCTTTTATATCAGATGAATAAAATACAGATAAAATTTGCAGGAAAAACAAAAACTGTGCAAATCCTGCACACAAATATACTACAGTACTTGCAGAATTATCTGATTATCATATAGTGTTCTCACTGACTATTACAGTTGGCAGTTCTGCTCTAGAAGGTGCATTTGCCCATTATTAAATGTGTTGGTGATTTGCCGTAAAAAAACAGGTAATCATGTCCAAGTGGAAATATGAATAGACTTAAATATATTTGCAGACCATACAGGGATGGTTTGCAGAACAGGCTCCCACTGATCACAAGCCACTTTATTGAAGACTATAGTTGCCAGATCTACCCAGCTGCCTTCTGAAACCTTCCAGGGGGTCCTCCTAAAGATTCATAAAGTTCCCTGTTAAATGTACTGCCAAGCCATTCCCTGGATTCTACACTCCTTTGAACTTCTCCAGTTCCAGACGGCATCATTCACCTGTGAAGTCTGACTTACAATAGGGTTCATCCCTGCGCCTTCTTAACCAATCACCCATATTCTCTTCGCAAGCCAAAATGTTTTACGATTTGGGGATGGGGGGTGGGATTACTAATCAGTGAGGAAAGTACTGCTGAGCCGCTTAGCTGAGTATCTTGGGAGTGTCGTTTCCCATGCAAGACAGGTTCAGAGAAGCCTCTCATATCCTTTGCAAGGCTTTCCTGCTACTCAGCAGTGAGGAACTTTTGTGCCCAAAGAGGTAGAAGTGACAGAGATTGAGGATGCACCCGGTCATCTTTTTCGTAGGATCCTGATTTCTACCTCTCTCCTTCTCATGGCCTCCTCCAGCCCCCTTCCCCAGAACTTCATGCAAGTGGGTAAAAAAACCCAAGAGCTTCTCCTTTCTACCCACCAGCCAACTTACTGTTATTTGCTCCCCATCTTCAACTTTCCCTCCTTCCCTCCCCCTGGCAACCTCTGTCCGGGAGAACTATGGACCAGTCACATGGTGACAGTTACCAGGCCAGACAGAGTTGCCCAGTGGGGAACCTGCAAGGACTTGTGGGGGGACGACGACTTCACAGTGCCGTATCACCCTTCCCACTTCTTCTTTCTCTCTTCATGACAACTCCCAGATTGCCACCTTTCTCTGCTTCCTTCCACCTTTCCTACCCACCATTCAACCTATTCTTTATCTCTCCCACATCTTCAGCTATATTGATATTTTTGCCTCACCTTTCTTCACAATAGCTTGCTTGCATCATTCTCCTTTCCTCCATTTCTTCCTCACAACAACTCTGTGACGTGGGTTGGACTGACAGTGTGTGACTGGCCTAAAGTCACCCAGGGAGCTTCTGGGGATTTGAACCTGCGTCTCCGAGACCCTGATCTGAAATTCTGACCGCTGCACCACATTGGCTTTCATGGGGTGGCTGCTGTTGAGAAGTAGAAAGCAGCTGGGCCTGGGTGAGTCATGCAGATTGCACAGTAGCAAGTTGTCCTGTGGTTGCTGCTGGGTCTGTCCCCAGTAAGTCCTCCCTCAAAATCCAAAACAGCCCTGGAAAGGGCCCCGCCCCCTCCCTCTTCCTTTTACCGACAGAAACCAAGGCTCAAAGGCTGCCTTGGTTGCCTAGCAATGGCCACTGAGGGCATCCATTTCTTAAAGCTCTTGTTGGGGGTCCTCCCCCCCACATGTATGTATTTTTAGATTTCAGAATGTTATGCAAACAGAGCTATTTTCAGGTTTGTAGAAAGATCTGTCTGGTCTGTTTATGGCATCAGTGTCTGGTATCCACAGATTTGGCCACAAGAATTATATATTGACAGCTATATTGATAGTATTTAAACAGTTGAGAAGAAGGTAGCTTTAGCTAGGGTTGCCAAAAATGTCCTGCCCCCTTAAAAGAGAATGAATAGAATGTTATTTACCAGGTGATCTATTTACCTTCATGCCATGAAAAGTTTCACCTGTTCATTTCCCCACATTAAGGCTCTATTAAAGGGTCAAGGCATTTTGTTTCCTCCTGGTTATTGGCAGATCTCAGCACAGCTATTCCAGGGCCTAATATTCATGCAGAAAATGTAAAATAAATCTGCACACAAGTCTGATAACTCTTTTTTCTCAGAAGTTTTCATAAGAGCTTTGTTTACCTTTAATTTGCCCCATGTTTCTAGTGCACAATCGTACTGCGTATTTCTAAAAACAGGAATTTGTTAGCAAGATTTGAAATATGCTCTTTAATTTTCTATGAATGATTGTACATACCTGGATTCATTTTTTTGTTTTGTAAAACTTTCCATGGAATCTTTTCTGTTCAAAACAAAAAAATCCCAGCTGTAGCTGCTTTACTTTCTGAATTGGTTAGTTTTTTAAAACTTATATAACCATCACTTTGCATATTATAGCTTTAGAGCTGTATAAATGGATTTTGATGCAAGCCAGAGACAGTTGCTTGTCAGCGCCAAAGTCCTGGCAGTGGTTTCGTATGTTAATTCAGTGCATCTAAACAGTCTTACTCATAAAAGGTAGTGTCTATAAACAATCAGTCAAGGGCAAGTATGAAATGTACATGCTGTTTCTTGCTGTTGCTGTAGTGATCCTCTTGCTGTATTCTCATGAACCCCAAGTACACTATTCAGACTAATAACAAAATATTGGATTGAGGATATTTAAAAAGTATCACTGAGCTATGAAAATGGTAAATGCAGGGGAAAATAAGCAGTCATTTAATATGCTAGAAGAAAATGGAGGCAGTGTCTAAAGAACATTTAAACCAAGTTTTTATACTTTAAGGTGAGCAACAGACTCAAAAGTTAACATAAAGCTTTATAAATTGCCCCTAGTTGTTTTTGTTTTGGACTATCCTATCCCCCAAGCGGTGGCTGCGGCAGTTCAGAGGTTAAGATGCTGAGTAGCAGACTAGAAGGTCTGTAGCTTGGCAGTTTGAGACCCTAGTGCCAGAGTAAGCTCCCGTCTCTGGCCCCAGCTCTTGCCAACCTAGCAGTTCGAAAGCAAGAAATTGCAGTTCAATAAATAGGTACCAATTCGGTGGGAAGGTAACAGCGTTCCGTGTGCCTCAGCGTTTACTCATGCTGGCTACATGACCATGGAGAAGTCTTCAGACAGCGCTGGCTCTTCAGCTTGGAAATGGAAATGACCACTACCCCCTAGAGTCGAATTCAACTAGCTTTCAAGCAAGGGAAACCTTACCCCCAAGCAACTGATTCCAAAGTAAAACAGTTTTAAATCAACAGTAGGATCAACTAATTAATGTATAAAAACAAGTAGCAAGTAATACAAAAGCCAGAGATTAAAAGAGTGGAAAGGCCTGGCAAACTAAAAAAGAATTTAACTGTGCTTCTAAAAGGACAAATAGTATGTGTCACGGCAGGACCAGGGGGCGTGACACAAGCAAGCAAAAGTCCAGGAACAGTCCGAGGTCAAGCCGGGCAAATCAGGTAGCAAGGTTCAAGCAGGTTTAAATCACAGTCCAAAAGCAGGGTCAGACATACCAAAGTTTCAAGTCCATAAATCACAACAATACCAGAGGAGTCAGAGATGAACGCAGGGTCAACAAAGCCAAAGGTCAAAAGCCGAGGATCAAACCGAGAAGAATTCCACAAGGTCTGGAGCAGAGATGCAAGGATTCAGGTCCTGAACAAACGACGTTGCCAGCACAAATGACTGCTGGCAACAGACTTGCATATATACAGTGCTAGCTAATCAACTCATTAGCTAGCCAGGAGTGAGGACAGGATCCTGTCAGTAATCAGGGCTAAGAGATCTTCTGGCACGCATGCGTGCATTCTGCCTTCGCTCTCTCAGCTGTTGTCTTCTTACATTCCTGAGCCTGGTTACAGGTGGAGGCGAGTCTGATGATGAATTACTGGGCTGCAGCAGAGACTGATCCCTTGCAGGTGTTCCCTGGGAGGCTCTATCCTCCTCACCACTTAGATAGCTTTCAGCTACAGGATCCAGTCTTTGCCTTTCTGCTGCAGTACTGTCCTCAGGAGCCTGTTCAGGGTCCTCAGGAGCCTGTTCAGGGGCATCAGCAAAGGCAGGCATGACATCAGCAGGGGCAGGCATGACACTATCCCCCCCCTCAGGCCCCCCCTCATCGAAAGGGCCAGGTTTGTCCGGGTAGGCTGTATGAAAGTGCCGGACCAAGTCCGGGGCATGCAGGTGAGAGGCAGGTTCCCAGGATCGATCGTCAGGACCATAGCCCTTCCAGTCCACCAAGTACTGCAGGACACCCCTATGAAGGCGGGAATCGAGGACCTGCTGCACCTCGTATTCCTCCTCGTCATCGATCATGACAGGAGGTGGGGGTGCTGGTGGAGTGTCCCGGTTCGGGTCCGGAGGAGCTGTCAATTGCAGGAGGGATCGATGGAATACGGGGTGAATCCTGAGATGATCTGGTAGAACAAGACGGAAGGCTACAGGGTTGATCTGGGCGTCTATTTTGTAGGGCCCAATGAAGCGAGCGTTGAGCTTGGCACAGCGGCCAGGAGCGCGGAGGTACCGGGTGGAGAGCCAGACGAGGTCGCCGACTTTCAGGGGTGTCCCTTCCTGTCGGTGGCGGTCCGCTGCCCGTTTATAGGCTTCCTTGGCATGTTGTAATTGCTCCCGAAGGAGCTCGTGAAGTGCATGGAGCTCTTGGATCCTGGCATCTGCAGCAGGAACGTCAGATGGGGGTCCAACGGGCAAGAAGAAGCGGGGGTTATATCCATAATTGGCTGCGAATGGGGTGACTTGGATGGACGAGTGCACCGCGTTATTGTAGGCGAACTCGGCCAAAGGTAACAAGGAGTACCAGTTGTCTTGTTGGTACGTGGTATAACAGCGGAGATATTGTTCAAGAGTGGCATTCGTTCTCTCCGTCTGGCCGTCGGTTTGGGGATGGTACGCGGATGACAGGTGAACCTCCGTCCCCAGTCCCTGGTGCAATGCCTGCCAGAAGCGGGAAGAGAATTGCGGGCCTCGATCTGATATGATCTGTGCTGGGGCCCCATGTAGCCGGAAGATGTGATGGAGGTAGAGCTGGGCAGTTTCCGGCCCGGTGGGGATTTTCGGACAAGGAACGAAGTGCGCCATCTTTGTGAGGAGATCCACCACCACAAAGATACAAGAATGTCCGTGTGAGCGGGGAAGATCGACGATGAAGTCCATCGAGATGATTTCCCAAGGGCTCGATGGGACAGGGAGCGGACGAAGGAGGCCGGAGGGCTTGGCAGGAACCTCCTTGGCCCGGCGGCAGACATCACACGTGCTCACATACCGGTCAACGTCGGCCCGAACCCGGGGCCACCAAAAGTCTCGGGTGAGCAGATGAGCGTTGGCAAATTGGTGAGTTTTTCATTTGTTTTCAGACAAATTCACCGCCTCTATAGAAAAACATAAATGGCATTCCCCCAAATTATATTGGTCATTTTCATTAGCCTCAAAGTACACCTGAGCCATCTAATTACCCTTTTTTCCTTTTCTCATTGATATAGCTATCCAGGTCTACTCGTGGTACCTCAGTCTGTGCAAGACAGCAGCTTGCAGAGAGTAGCACGCTGTTATCGACATAATCGCCTACCAGTTGTCTGTTGGAAAAACCCCAAAACCAGCACACTCCTGCTTCGAGCTGGTGGCTTTCATGGTAAAGGAGTTGTTGGTCTTTTCAAATCTCAAAATGCACAAACATCAGGTGAGGGAATGTTTCCTGTGCAGGCTATTTTAGAGACACAGAAAGAGGCAGCACTATATTTATCTGTTTTTGCCATGTCTTCCCAAAATCATCAGTCACGGCTTAAGATATAGCAACGGGTGTAAGGTCATGGATTTTAATATCTAATAAGCTCTGGGATATATTTTAATGTTATTTATTTTATTTTTCTGCAAAATGCTTCAAGTTACAAATGAATGGTGACTTTAAGACCTAATACCTGGAATAAAATTATTGAGATACAATCAAGGAGTTAATTATGAGTTGGATTACTTATTTGCCTAATTGCTTCCTTCTAAAGTCTCCTGTACATATCAGCGTCAAAGGCAGGATCCTGGATATCATTGGGCTGACCTAATATGGCAGATACTACGTTCTCATAATCAGACTGAACAAACAAAGTTTAGTCATGCATCATGCTTATTTATAGTTGCCTGTTCTAACCCGGTATACCCCCGAAGAGCATTGTCCTCTGCAGATAAGAACTTACTGGTGATCCCTGGCCCAAGAGATATCCAGGGAGTTTTCCACCCTGGCTCCAACCAAGTGGAACTCTCTGCCGAAGAACATCCATGCCCTGTGGGACTTATTGCAGTTCCTCAGGGCTTGTAAGGCAGAGATGTTCCACCAGGCATTGAGTTGAAGGCAGTGACGGTTTCCATCTATCTGGCACTCCTGTTTCTCTGGCCTCCCCCCCCCCTCCGTGGGGCAGTAGCACAATCAAAAGCTTAGCATCATCTATCTAGAAGAAGAAGAGATTGGATTTATACCCTGCCCTTCACTACCCAAAGGAGTCTCAGAGGGGCTTACAAACTCCTTTCCCTTCCCCTCCCCACAACAGACACCCCGTGAGGTAGGTGGGGCTGAGAGAGCTCTGACAGAAACTGCTCTTTTGCAAGAACAGCTGTTCTTGAAATAATTTTAGGGCGATCAGTTTGTTGTCTATTGCTTCTAAATTATATAGTAAATAAATTAGAGGATTGTGCTACCGAGAATAATCTAATCCACTCCCTGCAAATAGGGTTTAAAAAGTGGCATTCTACAATTGAACACTGTCAAAAATTATATACTCTGGCTACTGACTCTATTAGAAGTCCAACGAAAGCGCTATATGTGGTCTTTACTGACCTGGCCTCGGCCTTTAATTCCCTTGATAGGAATAGATTATGGTAGAAACTGCTAAATATTAATATTGATCCTAGGTTGGTCTTTTTGATAAGTCAGTTGCATCAAAATACCATTGTAAAGGTTAAGGTTGGGAAAGAAGGTGTGTTAACTGATGACATACCTGTCCAGAAGGGGTTAAAACAAGGCTGTATTTTAGCCCCCACCTTATTTAACCTGTATATTAATGATATACTTCATAGACTTGAGGGCATGGAATTTATGCCCCCAGCAATAGGTCAAACTAAGGTACCGATAATGTTGTATGCAGATGACATGGTTCTGTTGTCACTGACCAAAATTGGCCTGAAAAGGCTTTTGGATTAACTGGTCCAGTACTATAATATGTATAAACTATGCTAAGTCTAATTATTAGTAGTGAACAGGGCTTTTTTGGTAGAAAAAGTCCAGCAGGAACTCATTAGCATAATAGGCCACACCCAACAGCAGAAACTCATTAGCATATTAGGCCACACCCCTGACTGCACCGCTCATTAGCATATTAAGCCGCATTCCCATGTTACCAGAAGTGTGGTCATCCAGCCAGACATGAGGGCATGGAATTTATGCCCCCAGCAATAGGTCAAACTAAGGTACCGATAATGTGTGCAGATGACATGGTTCTGTTGTCACTGACCCAAATTGGCCTGAAAGGGCTTTTGGATAAACTGGTCCAGTACTATAATGAGGAAGGCATTTGTATAAACTATGCTAAGTCTAATTAGCCTGAGGGACCGCCTTACCTCACATGTTCCCCCAAGAGCACTTCGGTCGGGGGCCCAAAATCTATTGGTTATACCGGGCCCCAAGGATGTCAAACTGGCTGGGACCAGGGGTAGGGTATTATTGGTGGCGGCTCCTACCTGGTGGAATGAGCTCCCAGGGGAGATCCGGGCCCTGCGGGACCTTGAGCAGTTCCGCAGGGCCTGCAAGACGGAGCTCTTCCACCAGGCTTTTGAGTAGGAGCCGCCGCCCTACTATACCACCACCGTCAAGACATCTGAATGGAGGCATTGACGGGGCCCTAGGAAGAACTTGGAATTACATCGGAAAGGCCGTCGCCACTGAATATGTACGCTGAGAATACCAGCTCGAGTCGTGGGGATACCATCTTTGATCTAGGACACTAGTAACTGGATAGAGCACTTTAGTCTTGATGTTTTGATGTTTTTATTGTTTTTATATGTTTTTATTTATGGCTAGACTAATGATCTGGCCTCTGTTAGCTGCCCTGAGCCCACTGGGGAGGGCGGGATATAAGTGTAAAAATAAATAAATAAATAAATAAATATTAGTAGTGAACATGGAAAGACTGACTGATTGAATTTCCTCCTAATGTATGGAGGCATGATTTACTGAGTTATTTTTTAATATAAGAGATTACTTCTATGGTTCAATACTGGGTGCTATTTTGACTCTCCCTTTTTAATGTATTGTTTTCTCTACATTCATTTCCATAGCTCCTACATCACTAGAATCATCAAGCAGCATAGAACAAGAAAAATACCTGCAAGCCTTATTGAATGCAATTTCAGTCCATTGCAAAATGAATGGCAATAACACTCTCACTGTCAGGCCAACAATTGCTTTGTCTCCAGGTAAAGTTATACATTTGTACAGTTGCAGTGAAATATAATTCTTGTTGTGTTAGTTTTGTCTATTTCAGTGCCAATGCCCAAATGGTTCAGTATCCATATTGTTAATCTAAAAAAAAAAAACTGTTCATGATGCCAGCACATTTTGGAAGTTAAATAACATGACATAATATAAATATCATAATGCGAGGTGAGCAAAAGTACAGTGCTTAGATGTAACTGTTAGAGGCATGTGCCAGAGCAATGGAGTACTTAATGCACTTTTACAAACATGGGGCGTGTTCTGCATTTTAGGCCACCCTAAGGCTAAAAATGTAATATATATATTTTTGGGTAAGTCTGGATGATGCCATTAAGAAATGCATTAATATTCTGTTTCAGTTGTCTTGTGATGCAACCTGATAGGGTTCATACAAAGGTAACACTACTGTTTTAGACACAGGAGCATGCTACTTGCAAAGTATGTCCATTTGGCTTAATCAGTTGGTGATATCAAGAGTATCTAAATCCTGGCTTTTCTCATAACATAATACTGTCCCCAAATTGTGCATGCCTTGCTTCATTTGTTGTTAAATATTTGGATTGCATTAGCCATACCTAACCTGTGATGCTGCAATTGTATACGTGTAATTTCTAATACTGTGAAATGACATTTAAGTGTAGGAAACTGGCAGCAATTACATTTGTAAAGCATAAAACCGAGACTTTTTAAATTACTTGGGTTTAGAACAAATAAAAATCTCGGTAGTTCGCCTGAATGATACTGTATTTTTAATCTCTCCATTCTTTTTGGCTGACTTTAGGCACTGAAAAGAGGGCTTCAAGAATGTCCACTGTGTTTAAGCAGGTAGTGCCAGGACATTTGGATGTAAATCTGTCCAATAGCTTTGCCCGAGGAGGTTAGTAAGACTAGTTAAAAGCCTACACACCTAAGTAATATTAAAAAAGACGGTTGAGGGTTTGTTCTTGCATTATGCTTCAGTTTGTAACTATATAGCACATGGATACCAACTCGTGTAATACTTTTGGCTGAGTGGTGTCCAGTTGCTTTCCCAAGATAACTGCATAGGTAAAAGTCAGCCTCATTTGTCAAGGGAAAGCCATATTCAAGAGCAAACTTTCCCTTGTTAGAATGGAAACTGCGCACACTAAAGGCTGAACTACATGCTAAATTTTTAACATGTTGGGTTCCCCAGATACAACTTGCTTTGGCCACAGCCACACAGCAGCTGAGAAGAACTGCTTTTTAAAGGACCACAGGGGCCCAATTAGGCTTGGGACTCATCACACTGGAGGAGGAGCTCCTGCCTTCCCTTCCCCCATTCCATTTTCCCAAACCAAAACTGCCCCAAGGGGAGTTATTTGACCTGGTTTTGAGCTGCAGGTGGAATGAGGCATATCACTTCACCTGGGGATTTTTCAGCTCAGGAAAGGAGCCCTTCCTTCCCAACACTACAGTGCCAAGCAGAAACAGGCCCTACAGTCATTTAAAAAGCCCGTTCCATACAGCTGCTATATGGACGTGTCCCCAAAATTTTAATGTGTAATTTCCTTGTAATGCAGGTGCACAGATGGTTTTTGTCATTGGCTTACTTTAACTGACACCAAGGGTTGTGCAGCGATTCACTGGAGTGGGACTGTGCTTCACAAGTGTTGGGTATTTATCAGTTGCCAGTTGGGAATCTATCTGAATCCATATCCATATCCTCTTTCACACAGACATCCAGTACACGATTAAAGTTTTTTAAAGCTGGCAGCACCATCCACCAATAAGCTAGCAGACCATATGAGGAAGCAGCCGACTGTTGCATATGAGCATCTTTGATGCAGAATTTTCTCTCTGTAGAACAGATGCAAAAATGCCTCTGACAGCTGTCCCAGTTAATTCTACTACGAACTACCAGAAATATGAATCATGAGATTGGTAATGCCACCAAGACGAAAGTTAGTATCCAGATTCTAACTTGGAATCTGTGTTTTGTGGATGCTCATGATCAGCACAGTATTTAAGTAGAAATGATCCCTTCTGCATATATTGGTTGTGCATATGAGAGCTACAGGAGTGAGTTTGTTCTGTCATTGGTAATGTAGGATAGTGATTACTGGGTTACTAAGTTATGAGTGCATAAGCAGTTTTAATATGAAGTTACTCCTCTCCACATGGTTTATATTGGGTAATACTCTAGAAACTAAGTTGTTTGGAAATGAAGGGAAATTATGTTTTGAAAATATAATAAATCTATAGGTCATGAAAGAGGATAGCAGAAGTTGCAATATTTCCAACTTGTGATGTACTGTAGAAAATTGGGGAGGGTGCTCCAGCTGAATTGAGAGAGTAGCTGCATGTTTAATTGCTTGTTGCACACCCCAGTTAACAGAAGGTACTGGATTTAAAACAGATGTCCTTTGGTTGCAGTGTGACTAATGGTGTGGATCAGGTTATAAGAGTACTATATTACTGTAGACCACTTGAGAAGGGATGGTAGGATATTTTGGGAAGTATAATTTTATGGATGATTATGCAGTTTTTACTAGCAAAGTTGGGTACTGCATTGCTTCAAGTTATGGTAGAGTATAAAGGGAATTTGAGATAGTGAAGCCTTGTGCTATATAAATAAAGGAAGAATCTGCAGTTGTTTATGCCATGGCATTTACTGTCGGAAATACCCCAATATTGGGTTAGTGCACACCGTCTTTCAGAAGATGATCAACAGCAGCAGTTTCAACATGCAGTCTGTTCCTTTTCTCCTCTCTCCATGTCGGAAGGCATGATAGCATAGGCAAGTTCCCTGTCATCAGGTGGCTGCCAAGGTAGTTGTACTGTGAGCAATAATGTACTGTGAGCAATATTAATACTGCCTCTTAGATAGGGCATGTAAGGGGAAATATCTGGTCTCATAACTACCTCCTTCCCATGCTGGAAGAAGTTACTGCTGAGTAGGGTTGCCAGGTCCCCTTGTCGCACCAGCGGGGGGATTTAGGGGTGGAAGCAACGTCAGGGGCAACATCATGCTTTTTGGGCAAACTCTATGGTAAAAATGGCCTCAAACAATAGAATTTCCCCCAAAAAACAGTGTCACCCTGACATGACAGATGCACCGACATCACAAATAGGTGACATCAGTGTATTGCGTGTGACGTTGGGGGGATTTCCCCCTGCCAGCCACCTGACCGGTAGTGGGCAGGAGCCCACAAAAGTGAGGGATTCCCCACCCCCACCTGGGGAATGGGATCCCTACTGCTGAGACAGAGATCCCCCACCATTGTTGGTGCATAATATGACCACTAAGTTAGTCAAGGTGGAAGACAGCATCAGAGGGAGTATCAGGACTCATTCCTTTTTATACCCTGATATACACCATAGTAAAGTATTCTACCACTATGTTATAGTATAAATAAGCTAAAGCAGCACAACTATGCAGGGCTGCTACCCTGGGCCCCAGGTCTAAGATTCCACCTCCCCCCATATGACTCCGATCCAAACCATGTGTCTGATTTTGATATTTTATGTTCATACACACATACATATCTGTGTACTGATATAGGACGTAATTCTCAAATCTGATGAAGTGGGCTGTAATTCAAAAACTTCATGTTTTCTTCCATCCAGCTCCACAGTTTTGTTTGCTCAACCAGATCTTGCAAAGGAGTAGTTCGATTTATTTATTTATTTACTTACTTATTTATAATTCAAATATATAGACCGCCCTACCCCTGTGTACACACAGCTCAGGGCAGTGAACAGCATAATAATAAAAACATTCATAAATAATAAAACAATATAAATAATATATAAATAACATATATATTTAATATATCAGCTTCTAATTAAGGCCCTGCCCCACAAGAAGATGGAAAAGAGACAGGAAGAAAAGAAGAGGAAGGGGAGGAGAAGGGGGAAGTGTAGAAAATAAATCTTTTCCTTTTTGCTTAATTTCTCTTTCACTTTTCCACACTTTTCTCCTCCTTCATTTTGCTATTCCTTTCATGATCTGCCTACATTTCTCTCTCCCCACTTCTAATTTTATGCAGGTGTTTGCCTCCTTGTAGTAAACTGTGCAGAAAGGTGCAGACAGAAGACACAGCTACTGCTGTTTACTGTGCTCTGCCTGCAGTGCAGTGCAGTGCAGAATTGCATTAGAAGAAAAATAAACAGAGATGCCTTCTGAATGTTGCATGGCAATGGCTTCAGGGGCCCTCCCGCTGACTTGGGTCCCAGGAATTTTGTCCCTCCAGTTCCTCTTCTCAGTGGGCCTACTTTTGTCACATATGCAGAACAAAATCTAGAATCCACTTGGGAATTTTATCATAATTAGGGGTGTGTAAAGAAAAATATCTGGTATTATTCGGATTCAGGATATTCTGAGCCGAATATATTTACTATACCCAAATATTCCCGAATATCAGGATTGGTTTTGATATCAGGAAACATTTGGGATTCCTGAATATATTCGGCTGCATTATACCCTATGGGGCCATTATAGTCAATGGCAGATCTCTCCTAGGGTATATTCAGTGGCTTGGGGGGCAGGGGGTTTGAGGAAGAGGCACCAAATTTGCAGTATAGCTGCTGGAGCCTCTCCACAAATGAACCCCCAAGTCTCAAAAAGATTTGACCAGGGGGTCCAATTCTAGGGGCACCCATAGAGGGTGTCCCATCCCACCATTTTTTCCGGTGGTGGGGAAAATAGCACTCTGTTTACCATAGCAAACACTCAATTTACCATTTAAATATTATATTTCTAATATAAACCCCAATTTTCTTTTAAAAAATCTAGATTTCCCCAAAATGTGAATTGCACTGTGCCAGATTCCATAGTTTATGGTGCCTATCAGTAATGTGACCAAATAGTTTCATTTTGCAGATGTCCCAGCGTATTTCTCGAAGTAGAAGCTTCTGTTCCAAATTTCCCCTTTTATTTGGCTCACATATGGTATGATATGTAAATCAGGTACATGCAGCAGTATTTGGCATCCAGCTATCCTCCAAGTGGCAATGTTAGTGCAATAGAATACTTCCACAGGAATAATCCCCTGCTTCTCTCAATTTACTTGAAATGTTGTGAGAAAAATGTGGACTCTTTTTTTAAGCAGGAGTCATTACTGTGATTTTCTATTAAAACTACATTTCCATTATACCAAATGGTGTGCATATGAGACTAGGTTATCAACCCACGCACAATGCATGAGTCCTGCCAGACATGACTTCCCAGAAACAAAATAACGCATGCTAATAACTTAACGATAAATGACATGTGCTCTGCATGGTGCTTTAGCTATGTAGATAAGGCTATATAAGCTTCCAAATTTTGGCATCACAAAGTATTTTCATCTTAATAGTAATAGGCATATATTGAGCTAAACCTTTTTAAAATGAAAAATTTGTTAAATTTTTAATCCCACCCCCCCATAATGGACAAGTTTCCATTTGGTATAATACAGTGGCATATCATTTTTGGCTTCTTTGCATGTCTGCAGTTAACTGCAGTGCCCATGGACATGATCATGTTTAGTAAGTAATGTAGCTTTCCTTTTTTTCCCCTTGAAATTCCTGTGGCTTGATTTGCGTATTGATGCAATTCCTTAGAACTACTAGTTAAATCACATATTATTAAAAGTTATTATCATTTTGATGCTATATGAATGGAAATTTACCTGTAATCTTTTTCTTCTCTTCTGTTCAATGTGCTGTGACTGTCTTATTGCAATGTGCATTCCGTTGCTCCTCCCTTTCCTCCTGTCCTTACTGCTATATGCCAGTGCTTGGGTACAGAGATAAATGTTTCACTCATTCAAATCCCAAATCAGGAAGAGTTGATCAAGGTACCGTGTATATATATATATAACTTTTTTTGCACTAATAATACATTCTACCGTTTCCATGATTATGAATATCAGTTTTCACTAAAGAAACCGTTTTAGCACGCTTAGGCACACTATTCCTGTTTCCATGTAAAAACTTTGCTACAGTATAATGTAGACCATTAATCATTGCAAATACAAAGAATATCATACTCTCCAGGCTTCATGACCCAATAACCAAAGAATAAAGAATTTTTATTACTTAATAAGTCAACATTCCTGTAGATATGATTGCTGGTGCAGGACTAGTAAAAAGAGCAAGCAGCACAGGAAACATGGTACATACTATTGAAGTTTTAATATAAGGGGAAATATCTGGCCTCACTATTGCGTCCTTCCCATGCTGGGAAAAGTTACTGCAGAGACAGAGATCTCCCACCATTGCTGTTGCATAATACGACCACCAGGTTAGTAAGGGTGGAAGATAGCAAACACCATAGTGGGTGGTTAATGGACGGACTGGTGAATAGGTATCTGTTCAGCCTTTAATCACTGTAACCCATCACTGGTAAGTGTTGTAGTCTGCATGCGCTTGTAAATTTCCAGTATCTGTTGCTTTTTATGTGCTGCAAGCTGTAATCAAGTCCATTGTTACTAGGGTTGCCAGGTGCGATCTTCGTCGCAGCGGGGGACTCGGATGACCGTGGCCCCGCCCCCAGCATGCCCGGCGTGGTCGCGTCACTTATGGGTGACGTGCACGTTGGGGTGGGGTTCCCCCCGGGGCCCGATCCGCCGGTGGAGGGGAACGGGCCTTTGGGGCGGGGGTTTCCCCGCCCCCCAGGGGGACTTGGCAAGCCTAATTGTTACTAGCAAAAAAAAGGCTGGGGGAGGGGATACTTCTTTATTGGACTTCTTGTAGTTTATTATGAACTCAAGTTCTGTGTTCATGGGTGGCAAATAAAAAAATATCTTATTAATACTACTGGAAACAAATCTGATTTTATGACAGAGATGTTCTGGGGTGAGATGATACATATACCTTGCTTTATTTCAGAGGGAGACTTTTAAATGGTGGCTTACTAACTTCCTGACAAACCATATTTGTTTGTTCTGACCTGTGCACTCACATCTAAAGCAAGTGAACTGTCTATAATTTTCAGGCAGCTATGTTGCTGTCTCATTTGCTACAGCGTTAACATTTGAGTAAAAACTCTGTGCTATATTTTATACATGTCCATTATCTGAATACAGTATCTTCACAGGAAATCAACTATCCACAATATCATATCATATCATATAGACAAGAAAGCTTACTTGAATTATTTTTGCTAATGAGCATCTCATGTGGTATGTTTATATAATGGCTGCAACATGTTACCTGGTCACACAGAAGTGGTTTTGTGATGGCAGCCATACCGTAGTAATAGCGTATGTGCCTGCCTTGCATTAGGAGCTTACTTTCATAAATTATCTCTCCCTCATCCAATTGCAGATTAATGCTATTCTCTTTGAAATGCTATTCATAGAGACTATTTGTTGGGGGGGGGGGCTGGAGAAACACCACAGTTATTTATTTATTTATTTATTTTGGGTTTTGCACCACCCTTCCCCACAAGCAGGACGGCTCTTTTTGTAGTAGGAACTCCTTTGCATATTAAGCGACACACCCCTAATGTAGCCAATCCTCCAAGAGCTTACAGTAGCCCCTGTAAGAAGAGCTCTGTATGCTCTTGGAGGATTGGCTACATTAGGGGTGTGTCGTCTCATATGCAAAGGAGTTCCTGCTACAAAAAGAGCCCTAAGTATAAAACAGTTTAAAAGGTTAAAACATAATTCAGTAAAGTTTAGCTCCATAAACAATAGCATACGTTGTAAGACGGCATCAGCGTGATTAGAGTGTATTCCCATTGTGTGTGTGTTCAGATATTCCAGTTTCTGGGAAGCAATAGAGCTCCCACCAGTAACAGCATGAGTTAATACATGTGAAGACCTGCCTGACAGTTATACTGATATGAAAGCAGATATAGAGTTGTGGTATTACAAATTTTATATGTAACGATGACAGAGTGGTTTACATTTCTATTTGAGCTCTACTTAATGGAAAGGCAATCAATAAATGAACTAAACTAAAAAGAAACCGAGCGTTGAATATGAAGTGGTTTACTTTAGACATTATCTCAGTTGCACAACTTGGTAAAACTTCGTTATGAATCACTTCAGATCAGAATCATTTTGCCCCCGGGTGCATGAATTTTGATGCATATTCATAAAGACTGCAAACAACGTGGAAACATTTTATTTACAAGCAGTATCTATATGCGCATGTTTAATGGAGACTTACAAAACAATACAATTCCACAAAAATATTAACTATTTGATTGTGTTCTTAATCTTTATGAAGGTATGTGGGCAAGTCTTCGTTCTAGCAGTCGGTTTATCAGCACTCAGATGCCATTCCTTGATGTGGGTGCAAGACTAGCTGGGAAAGATGGTTCACCTTCCTATACCAACAGAAGTGCATATTTTCAAAACCAGCTTCTGAAGCGCCAAGCGGCTCTCTACATATTTGGAGAAAAATCTCAACTAAGGGTATGTCCGCTTTCCTAAAAGTGATTTGGGAGGGTTGCTTGGTTATCTGTAATTTTAAGAACTGTACACTGTTTTGGATACTGCACAGAACAGAGTCATGCAAAGTAGAACTGCATCGATTCAGTGGTATTTTAGTGCTTCTGTGTCTTGGAGTGCAGAATAAGATACAATGAAAGAGATTGTGCATGTATCGCTTGCTAGATTAGAAAAATGTGGCATATATCAGGTACACATCCAAATGTGGGTGCTGTCTCTCTACATCTTTCATCATCTCACAACAACCCTATGAGGGTAGGTAAGGCTGAGAGGGAGTGATGGGCCCAAGATCACCCAGAAAGCTTCCATGGCATGAGTGGGAATTTGAACCTGGGTTTCCCATGTCCTAGTCCAACACTTTAACTACTACACAACTTTAGTTTCCACTGCAAATAGCTTGGGAGTCTGGAGATAACCTGGGCCAAGATATTCCAATTCCTTTCATTTTTGGCCCTGGAATTCATCTTGGTGGCCCATTTTTGATTTTCCTAGTTTTATTTTCTGATTAGTTATGCCTGCCACAAATGGACAAACAGATGGACATGTGGATCCTTTTATTATTATAGATGCATGCTAACAGCTAGCCAAGTAATTTGTTTTGTTAGGGTCTTATGAGGGGGCCCAGTTGGAATCTTTGTTTGGGATCCCATGGTGCCCCTCAGCAGCTCTGCAGGGGCCTCCGGGAAAAACTGTAGGAGAAATGGACATTTGAATAGTGCCAGTAAAAGAAATATTACAGAGAAAAAGTATTCAAGGCATACTTTGTATGTGCCTTGTGTATATAACCTGAATGCTCTGGGTCCATATGCATATTCTACACTTCGTACTTTCTGAGTCTGAAAGAATTAAAAGTTCTTAAGGGAGGACAGCTGTTCGGCAAAAAAAACAACAACCCAGCTTTAAAATATAGGTTTTGTTCACAATGAGTAACACAAGTAAATATGTTTTGTCCACAGGGCTTCAAACTTGATTTTGCTTTAAATTGTGAATTTGTTCCAGTTGAGTTCAGTGACATCAGACAAGTGAAAGCTAGTTTTAAGAAGCTCATGAGTGCTTGTGTTCCTAGCAATATCCCTGCAGATTCTGAAATAACATTCCTTAAAGCACTTGGAGAATCAGAGTGGTTTCCACAGGTAAAATGATTGGGGGGGGGGGAGATATAAATACCTGTGTGACATCTGTTGACAAAACAAAGGGCTATTTCTGTCCAGCAAAATGTTTCCACTTGATCCATAGCTGTCTTAAATGAAATCTTGCTGTGTTCTTATGCATACAGAGTTCTGTCACTGTGGTCTTGACAAATCAGGTCACGTACTGACCCCTCTCATATTAAATCAGTCTTGAAAAATGCAGTACTTGGCTATAATGTCTTGTATCTCTGACAGTCGGTTTACATGATCTATCCCTTTATTAAAACCGATTTAAATTTACAACATTTAATAATGAAAGATGAATAATGTGGCTGAGTATATTGTTGTAGCTGGGTGTATTGTTTGTTAAAGCTCTAACCATCATAGTATATATAGTTTCGTATTTTGGCACCAGTGCCATTGAAATAAAATATATCTTGTATAGCAGTATTATTTCAGTGTTATATTGCTGTTTGGCAGTCCAGTGGCCCTCTAAATTTAAAAGGGCCGTTATTTTCTGTGGAAAGACATGGCCTCCAAATGCTGGCCAAATGTTTGAGGGATGTGCTCTAAATAATGGAAGCATGTCCAGTACGTTTTGTAATAAAACAAGCTTGTTGTTAATTATATCTAATGGGCTGTGGTTCTTTGTGTACTGAAATACTTTGATTCTGTTAGTCATTTTATCATCAGGGTTATATTTTGTTATATTAACAAGAAGCCTATTCTTTCTTACAGCTTCATAGGATAATGCAGTTAGGGGTGGTTATATCAGAGCTGCTTGAGAATGGCTCTTCAGTTTTGGTTTGTCTGGAAGATGGCTGGGATATCACTGCACAGGTGGGCTATTGTTATTGACTTGAGTATAGTAATGGCCACCAAAGGGAAACATTGTATTTTGATTGATTAATTAATTATACCTATTTACTCTAAGGTTGAACGTGTTTTGGAACTTCAAAAGCAATCTTTCTGAGCTGTAACCTGCTCTTATTTTTAAATAATCTATCGTCACCTAAGTAAACCTATAGTAACCTTATGCTGGCCCTGCACTGTTCAGTCTAAATTAAGAGGTTTTCTGTATACTACTCAGGAAAACCTAAGCTTCATCTCAAGAATTCACTGGTCTTTTTGAAATATATGGCTTTTTGTGCTGAAGGCAAGTTGATGTGCAAGTCTCCTTGGCACAGGAGTCATTTCATAGAAAAAAAGGTGCAGGGGCTCATTAGCATAACTCATTTGCATATGCCACACCCCCTGACATCACTGGAAGTGTGTCAGAAGGCAACACCCACCGCTCAGGCTCCACTGGACTGTTTTGGATTGCTAGCTATTGGGGCGGGGGACGTGCAGATCTGTCCTCGCAGAGGAGGAAGAGCTTGTACCTGAATAAAACTTGGTCCTAAAGGTGCCACTGGACTGTTTTGGGCCGGGGGGAGCTCTGCAACTTACCTGGCTGCTTCTTGCTCTGACTGAGGGATGCTGGGAGCAGGGGGTGGGGCTTGTTGCATGTACCCGCCCCCTGGGCTCTTTACTGCCGGAGCTCCGTTCCTGTGCGCTCCTGCAGGAAATGACCCCTGCCTGTACAACATAAAAGGTAACCAAGTGGTGCAAGACGGAGAACCCATGAAAAGGCTGTGCCAGGGATTGTGGAACCAGTGTGCACAAAAACCAAGTACGATGGAATTGCAGTGAAGAAGGGAACTGCCTGAGTTGCCCTCCTTCTGCACTACAAGAAAAGCTGACAGAATCCAACCTGTTGAATTTGTGTTGGCTCTCCAACTAGTAAATCCCATGGTAATATATATGAAGTATACTGAACTGTCTGAAATACACTATATCTGATCTTAACATGAACTTTGTCTTATGGCCTAGGTGGTGTCTCTTGTGCAGTTACTCGGCGATCCATTCTATCGAACACTTGAAGGTTTCAGAATGGTAGTGGAAAAAGAATGGCTCTCTTTTGGTCACAAGTTCAGCCAGCGTAGTAACTTGACCCTCAATTGTCAGGGGAGTGGATTTGCTCCTGTTTTTTTGCAGTTCTTGGACTGTGTGCACCAGGTAAGTATGAGAAAAAGATATTTATGATGTTACATTGATACAAAATTGTCAGTTTTCCAAAGCAAAGGGTAAAGTTGGAGAAATTTAAATATGTTTTATGTTCCTAGGCTACAAAAACTCTTAATAGTATAAAAATGAGAAGAAACACTTTCTGGTTTTTATCTTCTCTGTATCCTAGCAAAAATGGGAGAGAGCCAGTTTGGTGTAGTGGTTAAGTGTGTGGACTCTAATCTGGGAGAACCGGGTTTGATTCCCCACTCCTCCACTTGCAGCTGCTGATGTGACCTTGGGTCAGTCACAAGCTTTGGCACAGCTGTTCCTGAAGGAGCAGTTTGTGTCAGAATTCTCTCAGCCCCACCTACCTCACAGGGTGTCTGTTGTGGGGAGGGGAAGGGAAAGGAGTTTGTAAGCTGCTCTGAGACTCCGAGTGAAGGGCGGGGTATAAATCCAATCTCCTCCTCCTCCTCCTCTTCTTCCTCTTCTTTCTCCTCCTCTCCTCTTCCCTGAAGTAGCCTATGCATGCAAGAGAATGTAATAAAGGGATAAGAACATAAGAACATAAGAGACGCCAATGTTGGATCAGGCCAAAGGCCCATCCAGTCCAACACTCTGTGTCACACAGTGGCCAGAAATACCAGTGCCATCAGGAGGTCCAGCAGTGGGGCCAGGACATTAGAAGCCCTCCCACTGTTGACCCCCCCAAGCACCAAGAAGACAGAGCATCACTTGCCCCAGAGCCCCTAGCTATACCTTGTGGCTAATAGCCACTGATGGACCTCTGCTCCATATGCTTATCTAATTCCCTTTTGAAGCCATCCATGCTTGTAGCACCCACCACTTCCTGTGGCAGTGAATTCCAAGTGTTAATCACTCTTTGGGTGAAGAAGTACTTCCTTTTATCCGTTCTAACCCGACCGCTCTGCAGTTTCATGGAGTGCCCACGAGTTCTTGTATTGTGAGAAAGGGAGAAAAGTACCTCTTTCTTTACCTGCTCTTTCCCATGCATAATCTTATAAACCTCGATCATGTCACCCCTCAGTCGTCTTTTCTCCAAGCTAAAGAGCCCTAAGCGCTTTAACCTTTCCTCATAGGGAAAGTGTTCCAACCCTTTTATCATTCGAGTTGCCCTTTTCTGCACTTTTTCCAAAGCTATAATATCCTTTTTAAGGTGTGGTGCCCAGAACTGCACACAGTATTCCAAATGAGGTCTTACCATTGATTTATATAGGGGCATTATTATATTGGCTGATCTGTTTTCAATACCCTTCCTAATAATCCCCAGCATAGCATTGGCCTTCTTTATTGCAGTCACACACTGTCTCGACATTTTCAGTGAGTTAGGACAGGATATTGTTGAACACAAATCAGGGAAGCTGGTTAAGCTAAGCATGCAAAACATTTGTATGCACTTCGTATGCTATTTAATCTCTATGATAAGCCCTTAGGACAGGAGTGTCGAACTAATTTGTTATGAGGGCTGCATCTGACATAAATGAGACCTTGTTGAGCCGGGCCACGTGTGTCATAAAATGTAATGCCAGGTAGCGGAGATATAACCTTTATAAAGGACACAAACACAAAAGGTTTTTTTTTTACTTAAAATACATGCCACTATAACCTTAAGGCTAGACTACTGTAATGCACTCTGCATGGGTCTGCCTGTAAAGTGAACTAAGAAACACCAGTTGGTAGGGAATGCTGCAGCTCAGTTGCTATCAAGAGCTAGAGGGAGCATACAGTCAGTGCATTGGTTGCAGATCAGTAACTGGGTTCTAATCAAGGTATTGGTCATCACCCACAAGGCCTCTAATGGCCTTGGACCCACATACCTGTAGGACCACTTTATCTACTGTGCACTATCATGTGAGCTTTGCTCATCTGACCAAAAACTTCTGAGGGTGCCACTCTGCAAATGGGAAAGATCGGCAACAGCCCATACGAGTACATTGTTTTGTAGCTTCCACCTTGTGGAAAGCCCTGCCCGTGAAGATCAAGAAGGCCAAAACACTTCTGTCATTTTGCAGAATGTGCAAAACAGAAATGTTTGGGAGGTTGGTTTTATAACGAGGTCAGAACTGTACTATAATGAGGATGGTTTTATAAGGGAATAGGGATTGTAGTGTATTATGGTGTTTACTGTATGTATCACCTTACTTTTACTGTATTGTTTTCTACCTCTGTAATCCATTTTCTGCATTATGGTATACTCATGGCTTAGACAGGTGGTGGTGGTGGTGGTGGTTCATTTGTTTGCATTGTTTCCTAATTCTGCAATCCTAGTCCTGCTGCATTGTTTATTGGAAGTATTATGCTGTTGGAATTGTTTTTCATGCTTTGTAATTGCCTTCACACTCAGCAAGAAAGGTGGGCTATAAATGAAGTAAATAAGTAAATAATGAGGAGAAATAAGTGGAAGTTTAAACATTGCCATTGCTGACATGGGTAAAACAAGAAAGCTGCTAGAAAATGTTTGTCCTTGTTTCAACTAGAAAGAATTTATGAAGCAGCAATTCTTAAATTAGAACGGCATCATCTTTTAAAAAGCCATTGTTTGTGCCAGCATACCCAGGTGTCAGCTGATCATTCTTTCACAACAGCAACATCTGGTAAATCTTGTAATTGTTTCTAGGGAGGGCAAAACTGGGGAGAATGTGATGTCATACCAGGAATCTCCCCTCGCTTTGTGTATCAGTTTATGTCTGTCTAGTATGTTGGTTAATTTTATGGGAAGAAGGCTGTAGTTTACGTAAAACCTTATCATTGAATCAACTATGATTGCTGTATAGATTAGGCACAGAGATTGGGTACAATCCAGAGAATTTTAGGTGTGCATAAAGAAATCAGTGAAACATAAGGACAACTCACTAATTTCAGTAGGAAGCCTCTGAAGCCACTGCCATTACATACATTGCTCATGACTGCAAGAACCAGTTGTTAAAGGAGAAATGTGGAACACTGCATTTTTTCAGTACATTTTTATTGGGGGGGGGGGCTTAGTCTCAGTGTTACCACCTGCTTAACTGCTACAGACAGGGGTATCCAGATCAGGGGCTCCAAGAATAGTCTTGGATGATGGGAGCATGGCTCATCTGGGAGCATGGCCCCCTAGTCAAAGTCCATTTAAAGGTTAAAACCAGCATTTCGTATTATACAAACTATAAGCATGTGAACCTGTTGCAGTCAGTAAACACACTGAAAACTGCAGTGCATCCAGAAGACAGCTCCACAAGTAGCACATTTCTAGGTGTCACCAGAGCATAGATAGTTGTGGCCAGACTACCTCATTTCACAGTTAGTACAGCAGCCTAAGATGGTAAAACTGATTGAAACCACAGAGATTACTCCAAACAGCCCCGTTGCCAGAGCGACGCGTAGCGTCACTTCCTGGCGACGGCGGGTGCAACGCGTGTCGCCGTCCCCGTGGTAGGGATCCTGCCAAGACACGCAGATCCCCCGCCGGCACTTAGTAAGCCTACCTGGACCTCCAAAGAAAATAATGGATCAAAGAGCACCCCTAAGCTGTGAACTTGATCCATAACAGAGAGTATAAATCCCCCGCTAGATTGATCACTAAGGCCATGAACAGTTGAACCATCCACCAGTCGCACTTCCTCCATGTCAGCACTGAGGTTTTGGTTAATCCCCTTTCATAAACCCATAACAGATTCTAGGCACCTGTCCAGGAACTTTGCAACCCCAGTAGCCCCATCCGCATCACTTGTAGAGGCCAAATAGAATTGGGGACTATCGGCACTTTGCTGGCACCGCACCTCAGATGATTTCTCACTGCAATGTCAATGTAGATGTCAAACATCATAAGACACATTATGGAACTTTGTGGGACCCCATAGCACAAATACCATGAGCCTAAGTGAGGTCTTCCAGCAGCATCTTCTGAAATCAATCCACTAGGTAGTAATGGCACTACTAGAGTTCAGTTCTTCCAGCCACCATCCCTGGGAGACCAGCTGAGCTCTGAGCAGGAGCAGGAGAGAGAGCTGTGAGAGAGGTCCAAACAAGCAGTCCAGAAGATGAAAGTGCAATCAATTGAGTGCAATCAATGAAGTTGCACTCTCTCTGTCTCTCTTCTGGCACAGGTAGTCTGCCAGACAACCCAGGATTTACGGTCCCAGACCCAAGCTAAAAAGCTTGAATGGAAAGAGTCAAGATAATTAATGTAATCTAGAAATGTCTAGAGTTTGGGCCGCCACCATGCACTCAAATATTTTGATCAACACTATATTAGCATCCAGCAGGCAGAAATAGAGTGATCCTTGAAAGCACTCTTCTCTCACAAGATATGTAAGCTCTCCAACAATAGAACTCTGGGTTCCCCAACTACCTGGTTTGCTGCTGGTTTGCTCTAAACTCTGCTAAATAAATAGCCAGGATAATGATATATTGTTGGCCAGCACAGCTCCCTTATAAAGCGTAAATCTCACTTGTTTAATCTCCATACCAGAGAGATTTCTGTGTTTCGCAAAAGGCAAAACAGGGAGATGTACAGGAAGCATGTTAATGAAAAGTTCAGGGGAAATCATTTAGTTTTAGTAAGACTCATATATTCCATCATGTCGCTTCTGACTTATGGCGACTCTATGAATTGTGGGGAGGGAAAGGGAAAGGAGTTTGTAAGCCGCTCTGAGACCCCCTTGGGTAGTAAAGGGCAGGCTATAAATCTAATACCTTCTTCTTCTTAAACAGCTTTGGACTCTCCTTTTGCATCCATTGACATCAACAACTGAAAATACTTTCAGCTTTAGTCCAGTTGCACCATTAAGAATAGCGCTATTTGTACTTGTCCTCAGCTTTTCCCCAGTAGCTGATTGTAACACTTATACTTAACAAGTTTAGATTTTTCCTTATTTTTCTCTTATGTCTTACAATGTACTCTGCTTATACTTGTCCTCAGCTTTTCCCCAGTAGCTTATACCTGACAAGTTTAGATTTTTCATTATTTTTCTCTTACGTCTTACAATGTACTCTGCTCAGTTCTGTATAAACTAACATTTTATTCTAGATATCCAAATCTACACAATACTGTGTAACAAAAGAAGAGATTATATGAAGCCATCTACATTCACTTTTTTCTGTGAAAATAGTATGGGCTTTGAAATAAAAATGTCTGTTCTGAATCATGACAAATATTGTAATGATTTATTTTTACTCTTGACTATTAATGTACCTTTTGGCCAAGTAAAACAATACTGCTGCTTTGTCCTAGGTGGCATAGCACAGATCCAGTTGGCCAAGTGTGGTGCAAAATTTTCATGACTGATAAACCAAATGTAAAGCTTGGGAAAGCTTACACAGTTTGCAAATATTTTCAGGAAAGCCTACATTCTTATTTGAGGGGGGTCTTCATTTTTTATCCCACCATTTGATTCTTCAGGACTCCCCAGGCAGTTAATTGCTTCCTAATTATATAATATGTATCAGTCTCCAATAAACAAAACAATTACACTGTTGTAACAGCTTTTCTGAGTGCAGTATTATTGTGGAAGCAGTATTAAGTTAGACATCAGGGTTTTTTTCATATGCCATTGGTTTGGATCTAGTGCAGTGTTTGCATAGGCTGAAGGGTTTTTCTGCCTCCCCTTTCCTGCTGCCGGCTGAAATGCCCCCCCCCCCATGCTTAACATCATTGCTCTACTTTTAATCTACTTGGTATTATATTTTAATCCTGTGCATATTGATATTTTTATGTTATGATTTATTCTGTTCGATGCTTTACTGTTGTTTATTATTTTGCTTGTCTCCTTTTGAGTTTGTGTGGAAAGGCAGAACATAAAAGGTAGATATTTCATAATATATGGTACAGTTTGCCTTGTGAAACTTTTAAATTGTAACTATCTTTCTATCCTCCATGTAATCTTTCAGATTCACAATCAGTATCCAACGGAGTTTGAGTTCAATCAGTATTATCTGAAGTTCTTAGCATTTCACTATGTTTCCAATCGATTTAAAACATTCCTTCTGGACTCAGACTATGAAAGACTAGAACATGGTATGTGGTAGACTGATGCTGATTTATTTGCTATTTTAATTTAAAGGGTTGACTATTATTAACGCTTAGGGTTGCCAGGTCCTTACTTTCTTGTGTGGGGGGGGCTCCTGTCTTTTTTCTGCAGCCTTTGACATGCACACGAAGTATGCGTGCCGCAGTGACATCACCTGGTGATATTATCGCACTGGGCATGTCAGCACGGATGAGGCTGCTCATCATCGGGGCTCCCCCCACCAGCCAGATGAGCAGCAGTGGATTGGGGGGCCCAAAAGCAGGGAAACCCCTGCCCCCATCGGGCAGGATGGCAACCCCACTGACACTGGATTTGCACATATATTACTTGTGAATAGTTACAATGCCAAGAATTGTAAAAAGCATAGTTATTTTCTTCGGTAGTCTTTATTGCTTATTATATATTAACAAGGGGCGAAAAATGCATATACTGCTGCCCTTTGAGGAGGGGACATTTTAAATTCAGGGTCATCTGCTTTTATATATAACCTTCTGTTTTTGTTTTTAAGGGCATCATCTTACATTCAGGGTCATCTTCCATTCAAGTAAATACAATATTAGGATAATATAGGATGGTTGGCTATATCACAGTCTTTGATATCACAGCTTGATCTCTGGGGTTTGAAACTATACCTTTTGCATTTAAACAACGGTAGCAACAGTCCTGGAATCGGCTCTCGAGGTATTCTGCAGCTTCTCATCCTGCCCCAGCATGCTCTGCAGCAGAGGGTTGTTGTGATTGAAATGTAGGACACCTCAATTAACACCCCAAGCCTCAGAGACAACACTCTAGCTGGGAAGCTGAGCCATAAGATCCTCAAGTTCCAGGCTGAGAGGAACTTGCCCCCCTTTATGGAGACAGATAGGCAGGGAAGCAATACCCATTTGATCACCTACTAGGAAAAGGCAAGGCAGATAGGGTTGCCAAGTGTACTTACCCTTGCCAGCGGGGGAGCCTTGCCGGGCTCCAAGAGCTCTCCCAGGACATGCGCGCGCGTGCCACCAGCACGTCACAGGAAGTGACGTGCTACGTCGCTGACGTTGGGGGCGTGGCCCAGATCGTCGGGACCACGCCCCCAACGTGAGCAATGTGGTGATGCAGCTTCGAGGGGCGGAGTCCCCCCCGGGGCCTGATTCCGCCACGGCGGAAATCGGGCCTCCAAAGCGGGGGTTTCCCCACCCCCCGCCCCCACTTGGCAGCCCTAAAGGCAGATCACTGTTGACATATCTTGAGTTAAAGCCATAGATAGCAAGGATTTGCTCCTGATTATGATTGGGTAAAGGAAATGGTGGGAAGTGGGAAAATGGGAGTGAAGTCTCTATTGACCAGCCTGTGTAAGTTCTAGCTTTGCTTATGTCCATTCCTCTGAAGGGAATGTCAAATTAAACCAGGGACTTCTACAACTTAATCTTCTTGGTTTGTTTTTGTTTTTAATTAAGTTTCCATAACACTTCTGCTACTAATACTAGTTTCTTATGCTCCTGTGTTACTAGAGAATAGAAACTTATGCCAGCAAAGAAATATCTTTTTTCCTTCTAATGATCTCAAATGGTGGCCAAAAAGTTCTTACCCACAAGCCTGACCGCTAATTCATGCATAAACCAAATAACCTGACCTGGCTAGAAAATTAGCAAGTGGGAATAGAGGGGAGTATATAGCAGCTAGCACAAACATGCGAGTCCTTCATACTGCTGGCAGCAAGGGAAGGTGAATAAGTTTGAGTGGTGACAGGTAACTACCCTGTTTGATAGGTGGGAAGGGGCAAGTGGATTCAAGCCCCCTCAAACACATGCAGGCCCCCCACTGCCTCTCAGATATTTATAGGCAAAGAGAGGGGGGGTGGGGGGTGAATCACTACAAGGACTGCCTCCAGAACAGACAAAAAGAAGTGCCCATGGAACAAAAGCATAGGATCCATGCCAGCACATTTATTTGAAAGAATGACGAGCAGAGCTGCTTTAGCCCTTTCCCTTGAGACAGTCAACCCATTTCCAATAAGAGATTTCTTAGATGATATTATTTTTGCAGTCCATTATTATGTTTTAGCTGTAGTATGGGCCAGTAATTTATTACTGTGCCCTGTGTCTTTCCAAGAATTGCTACTATAACAAGCTCCATCTTTAATTATTATAGAAGTATGATGGAGGGTAGAGGCAGGAGAGATCTAAAATTCCAGAGTTCTAGGTATCAGCATGTTATCTTCGACTCATATGTCAACTGGTTAATAGACTTGGGTGGAATCTTGTTTGAAATTGAAAGAGAACAGCATAGCCAAGGGAGTACTTAGATTTAAGCCCAAGCGTTTCTATAAATGAAACAAGCCCTTAATATTCACAGGCATTTATTTGTTCCATCATTTGATTACCAGCAGATCGCAGATATTTTTACAGAAGGGGGGGTGGGAGTTCAGCACAAGGTATTTCTTATTCCATAATGAACTAAATACTAATGCTTCTGCATAAGTTATGTGGCCAGCCATGTCACTGATATATATTGATTCTTGCTATTCTTCCTGGTTATATTTATTTGTTCATTGAAGACTTTTTATATCTTGAAAGTATATGTAAAAAAAATTCTTTTTCTTTTAATGTATATTATAAATTCAAATTCTCTTCTTCCATTTTTGTTCTTATTGATACTCACAAGTCCCTTAAGGCAGCTTGGTTTCTTGCTGGGAACAAGTCCTTCAATCAGTTTTTCATTTTCTTTTTCTATGTAGGGACCCTCTTTGAGGATAAAGGAGAAAAGCATGGAAAGAAAGGAATTTGCATGTGGGATTGCATTGATAAAATACATAAAAGGAGTCCTGTTTTCTTCAATTATCTCTATGCACCCGTTGAAACAGAGGTACAAAAAAAGATCTTTGGAATCCTGGCCCCCTAAGAGAAGCTTGATATACTGGAACGTAGCTTAACCCATTTGAAATGCTCATTCCATTAACTACCCCGAGGAACAAAACGTTTACAGGTCAAGACAGGAATTGTTTTTGATTTGAGATATTTTGCATTTGAAAATTGAGTTTGGGATCCAAAATAGGCTTGCCATTCCCTCAGGAGGGTGGGGGTTTGCCTGCTTTTAGGGCCCCCGATCCGCCAGCCTGAATCTGACTGGTGGGGGGTAACCCTGCCCCCAAAGTGCCGGGATTACGCCAACGTGCCCAGCGCGATGATGTCTCCAGGGGGACACTCTTTTGTTGTTCAGTCGCACAGTCGAGTCCGACTCTTCGCGACCCCATGCACAAGATCCCGTCAGGCCCTCCTGTCCTCCGCTGACCTCTGAAGTTTGCTCAACTTCATGCTCGTCGCATCTATGACACTCTAGCTCTCAGCAAAAACCCTCTATGGTACTATAGAGTTTCTGGCCAAATGCTAGAGTGCCCCCTGGCAGCGTACCTAGTACGATGACGTCCCCCCACCAGCAAAAGGTAGGGACCTGGCAACTCTAATCCAAAATGCTACTTTAGGCACCTCTGGTCCCCTGGACACACCCAGTGGGGTTTTGATCTTCTTTAAACAATAGGCCTGTGCCATACCAGAACTTGATCCTGAAAGTCCCCTCCATTCCTGAGCCAGTTTGTCATGTGGTTAGGAAAGGCACAGTTCAAAAACACAAGCCCAAAGCCCCTTCAGGTGCATTGGACTAATTGTTCTTTTTCTTTTTAATTAGAAATAGGAAGCAGGTTTGCTTTTGCAACATTACACACACACACACACATTTTCCCCAATAAGTGATGTAGATAATGCATGTTTCTTACTGACACACCTATTTTTTTAAACTTGGTAACAAAGTGTGAATGTTTAAAATGGGCAGCTCGGTGATCTCTATATCCAGTGGCTGTGCACTAAAAAAATGTTAATAGCACTGATCAAAGGGGACAAGCAGTCTCCTCTGGCTAATTATGGGACATTTATATATTTATTTGTCCGTTTATTTCTAGTCCACCCTCTCCTGCACAGCAGGCTCAGGGCGGGTTACAACTGACAGTAAAACAATAGGATAAATACAATTAAGGTATATATAACAGTCATTTAAAAACCTATATAACATCAGACAACTACACCATTAGATGATGATCTATAGCACAGGCTCTACAAGTGTGCAGCCTCAGATGGTAAGGTTTTTAAAGAAGTGGGCAGTCAAGAAAACAGGCCAGAATACTATAAAGTAGAGCAGGGGATTGTGAGGCAGGGGAGGCCAATGCCAATTAATACCAATTTCCCTGCTGGAAGAGTAACATCTATCATCTGTGATGATGATTAGGGATACTGAGAATTTTCACACAAACACAAGTGCCAGGAAAACGTACCTTAACCAAGGTCCCTTTGGTTACATGCATGGCAACATTATCAATCAGATCACATTGATGTTTGCTGTCAAAATTAATCTCAAGCACTATGCTGATTAACTTTGTTCCTGCACAATAGCTGCTTGTGCTGCAAGGACACCTGTGGAATGGTAATAAGCATTTTTTAAAAGTATCCCACTTTTCTCTGAATCGAGGCCCAAAGCAACTTATTGGATTGTTCACTGTCTCCCAAAGGAACAAAATTTCAGGAGACTCAGCAAGCAGGGAAGTAGGAAAGTTCTGCTCCATACAGTCCATTCCAGAAGCAGATCTCATTGGATACCTACTGATCTTGCCCCAAATCAGAGAATCCTATATGAGTGGCTCCTAGCTTCAAAGGCCTGTAAAAGATGGTTTAATTTAGTATATATTAATTGGGTTTCTGAATATAAAATATGCTGACCTGATCAGTTTTTCACTGCACTCTTGTTATGTCATTTTAAAGTGCCTTCTGATCATAGCCAGAAGTCTTCTAGGTGTATGAGAAATCTGAAGACTGCTAGATAAATGAAATGGAGAGGAACGGTTCCCAAGTGGATTATAAAGATAGGACAATAGATATATTAGAAATCAATCCAACTTGGGCATATTGTAGGTTATCCTTGATAAATTAGTTTAAATGTTATTCCTTCCTTTGCTTTGATGTTTTGTATAAACTTGTATCATGGGAATTAAAAACAAAATAAAATATATATTTTTTTAAAAAGTCAAAAAAATGGAGAGGAACAATATAAATTGTATGGTTAAATCTGAAATATGCAAAGTATATTACCATCTTGTCAATATAAAAAAGAAAAACTGAGTGACTGTACTGTATCATGGGGTATAATTAGATATTAACCTGCACCTTGCATTGTCTATCAGGGTACTTGCACAGCAAAAAATTCCTTTCAGTTGCTATGTATGATACCTTAAATTCAAGAAAATAGTTTAAGCATTAGGCCTTTAGGGAAGGACAGAACAGTGACACTGGATAGCCCTCGTGCATTTTTAATTTGCACTTTTTCTTTTTCACAGGCATTAAAACCAAATGTGAACATGTCCAGTCTTAAAAAGTGGGATTACTACACAGAGGAAACCTTATCTACTGGTCCTTCTTATGACTGGGACATGGTAACTTCAAGATGTAGTACCTTGGATGACTGTGACCAGGTGGATGTATCACCTTCCCAAAGTAAAAGAAAAATTGTCTGGCCATGCTATGACAACATAAACAAAGTGCAACCTGATGCCATCACCAGCCTATTAAATGTGAGTGTGAATATTTGATATGTACACACCACTACATTCTGCCTCTGATTTCCTTTGGTGCCTTGTAAGAACCTTTCTTTGAGCTGCTATGGCCCTGTTCATACGAGCCGTTTGGGCCGGGAGAAGGACGGATCAGGGCCGGAGCAAACGGGCGCGATCCCACAGCAACATCTGGGGAACGTCGTGCTACCGTCTCCGATCCGTCCCATCCCGCCCATGAAGCGCACCAAAAAAGAACCACCTACCGGGGTGGTTCTTTTGAATGGGCCGCGGCAAGTGTGGCCATGGGATCGCCGGAGCGTTCTTGCGCCGGCGCATCCCCGGTTCCTGGCCGAACTGCGCATGTGTGAGCATGCGCAGTTCACCAGCCTCCCCTTCCCACCGTCGCTTTCTCCCCAGCATCTGATCGTGCCGGGGAGCGACGGCGCCGCGGCTCAGGGGATCCGTGAGATCCCGCCGCGCCGTCTCAACTTTGATGCAGCTCAGATTAGCCGCAATTCAACTGTCCTTTTCCCTGCCGTGTGGCAGGGGCCTATGTAGTGTAGTTATCATGCCTGCTATGTTCCAAGGAACATAGTATTCTTCATGGCACCATTGGCTGTTTTGCCTATTTTTATCTTTATATATTTGAAAACAGGTTTATATTAAGAAGTAGGAAGCTGTTTTCCTGAACTAATTGCTTTTTTGCAATAAGTAGAAATGTGTAGCAAATATATCCTTTAGAGTTTTTGAGATGTTTCGGTACCTAAAAATTTCTGCTTGCAATTATTTTTAGCTACATTGAACAACTATGGAAAATGGATTCTAAATTAGCCTATAATAATAGTCCAAGCTTTTGGCTTCACATGCTTAAATTCAGACATTCCTTTTCTCTTGCATACAATCCTTCTGTAGTTAGAACTGTAATTTTGTAGTAAATAAAACTCGTGGTTTTGAAACATAATATCGACTGGCTCCAGTTAGTTGTCTATGGCAACTTGTGTATTCCTGGAACTTCTCACACTTCACTTTGAAGCATACAGTATTAGTGCAGCACATTTACTAAACTATATTTTGAATACCGAGAAACACAAGGAGAGCTGAGCATTTGGAATGAATCTTTGCTGCAGACCTCAGTGCCCTCAGAAAAGCCATTTATAATGCCTGGGTAACCTCCAGAAGGGCACTGGCCTGTATGGCCCAGGTTAGCTCGATCTCTTCAGATCTTAGTTGCTAAGTACTTGGATGGGAGACCACCAAAGAAGTCCAGGGTTGCTATGCAGAGGCAAACAATAGCAAACCACCTCTGTTCATCTTTTGCCTTGAAAATGTAGGGTCACCATAAATTGGCCACAACTTGAAGGCACTTTCCACAAGGAGTGTACACACAAAAAATGGGTATTTTTCAGGTTTGGTTGTACTGAACACAAAAAAATATTGGTATTTCTCAGTATTTCCAAATCCCAGTATCAATATGATATTGAGATTTGGGTATGATATTGGTATGATATTGGTATTCTGGAAATAATTGGGGTTGCTGAATTTTTCACCTTGGCATTTAAATGGACTGTCCTGTCAAATGCGTTTTGCAAGCTGTGGTGCAAGTGAACCTGGAAGGATGAAACTTCCAGGTTCACTTGAGCGACAGCTTGCAAAATGTATTTGAAGGGACCGTCCCTCCAAGTTGTGTGCAGATTGGCTTTAGGGGGGAAGATCTTAGGTTCCATGTGCAAAAGGGGAGGGAGTGTGTCGAATGCCCCCCTTGCTAGCCAGAGGCATTAAACTGGCAGCAGATCTGGCAGTGGCTTGCAAAATGCATTTAAAGGGATGGTCTCATCAAATGTGCTTTGCAAGCCACGGCACAAGTGAGCCTCGAAGGGTGAGCCTTCTGGGTTCACTCATGCTGCGGCTTGCAAAACGCATTTAAAGGGACCCCTTTATATGTGTTAGGCTTCTTCTGCCCCGCATTCCCTGCCACACACAGACCTGGCTGGGAGGCTTCTACTCCTCTTGGGTTTAAACCACGGGCCAGTAGAAGCTGCGATTTGGTATTGCCTTGCCAAGCCGAATAAAAGCCAAATAATATCGGCTTTTATTGGGATTCTCTATATCAATTGCCAAGTACAGATTAGAGAATCCAATTCGGCATAGGAAATACCCAAAAATACCTTGCTAAATACTGAATGCACACCCCTACTTTCCACCACCACAACCCTCTCCCATTATTTTCATGCCATGTTAAAAATCCTCCTGTAAAATGTTTCCCATTGCATTTACACATTTTAAACTTTTATGTTATTTTGAAATTCTATAACAATGGTAAAAAATAAAAAAGAAACTAATTGGAACACTGACAACAAGAAATGAACAAAAAAAGGTTACAACAATGCACAAAATAAAAACAAACTATAAAGGACGTATTCATACATCCCTAATTAAGATACTATCATTCAGTCCCATGCAATGTTACTACAGTGTAAGCTCACTGATTACACTGAGCTTAGACAGGAGTAACTCTGCAGAGCATTGGATGGATATTTCACAGCAGAGCACAATACTAAGTAACCTTTCTTCAGTTTAGATCATAAACATTTCAATATTTCAAAATACTTAAGAAATTAGAATGGTCCCTGCAGCTTTTACAGGTTATTTTTGAAATATTTATTATACTTATGAAAGTGATATTTTTATTGCATACATGTTCCATGTAGGAAGGAAGGGTTATTCCAATCCATTGCAAATAAGAGCTTTTGATAGCCTAATGAACTTTTGATAGTTTTATTTCCATTATAGTTGGTAATACTTTTCTTAGGATGGGGAAGGTAATGTTAATGTCAGCAATTGATGTCACAGCACTAGACTTGAACTTTTAAAAAAAGAGCACTCCCACTGCCTAAGATCGCAGACATAGAGAGTACTGGTCTAGTATGGGAAGTTGAAGAGAGTTTGGCAATTTGGCTGGTGTACCGACTGCCCAATGCACCAGCCAGTAGTCTGCCTTCCCTGTTGGAGGCCATGTCAAGTTGGCATTAGATCACCGTAGACTGATAGTCTTGGGGGATTTCAGTGTCCATGCTGACAACGCAACCTTCACTCAGGCAGCGGAAGTAGTGTCGTCCATGGTGGCACTGGGACTCTTCCAATATGTAACTACTTCTACCCACCAGGCTGGTCACACGCTGGATCTGATCTTTGCAGCGGTGGTTATGGTGGACCAGATCACTACCCAGGGGGTGCCATGGTCAGACCACCTTGCTCTGAGGGCCCACTTGAATGTCTCACCCCAACCCTGTTTGGGCAGCGAGTGTATTTTAGCTCGCCTGCGGAGCCAGATGGACCCTGTGCGGCTTCAGATGGCTCTAAGGGAGCCGATGCCCCCTGGCGACTCATTAGATGAGCTTGTAGAGGATTGGCATAGCCGACTTTCTGCAGCCATCGACGAGATCGCTCCCTGACGCCCTCTGCGCCCTTGCTCCAAGCTTGCACCTTGGTATACCCAGGAGTTGCAGCAGATGAAGCAAGGGCTAAGACAGCTAGAGAGACAGTTGCAGCGTGCCCACGACAAAGCTACAAGAACATCCTATAGGACGTTTATGAGATGGCAGTCAAAGCTGTGAAGAAAGAGTACTACGCAGTTCTGATTGCGTCTGTGAGCTCACGCCCAGCCCAATTATTTAGAACAATTCAGTCTGACAACTCTGCCACAAGGCAGGTCAAACATTAGGGAATTGGATATTGGATGTGAGGCTTTTGCGAGCTATTTCGCAGACAAAGACTTGTCGCTCTGCCGTGATCTTCCCACCACGAGACAGTGAGTGAACTTGAGGCCCCATCCACGTCTTCGAGTCAGGTTATAGATCATTTCAGTCCACTCAGCCTAGAGAAAGTTGACAAATTGTTCTTAACTGTATGTCCCATCACATGTCTCCTTGACCCGTGCCCATCGTGGTTAGTTAAAGCTGGTCGCGCTGGGTTTCGAGGTGCCCTAGGGGAGATTATCAATAAATCCCTCTTAGAGGGTCAGTTCCCTGGGACACTTTTTTTTTTTTAAATAAATTTTTTATTGAGTTTCACCTTTAATAAACATACAAACATAAATCACCATTCTCTTATAAGTCAATACCTCACCCTATTAACATTTGGTTACATACAGTCAATATCTAGATTCTCTTTAATCTTATATTGCCCAACTATAGTTCCACCTTATATTCCTCGCATTCCTTTTTAAATATCTCTGGTCTTAATAAATCATAATTACCCTATTTACTTTCCTATCTGTATATCTGTATTTTAGATTTTAAATTCATCTTCATTACATACATTTTACTTTTCAAAACATCCATTCAACTGAACTTCAGTTTAATTCCATCCTCAAATCATCTATTCACCTCTTGTTTTCAACATCATATTTGTCTCTATTCCTGGAGCTCTTCAAAATAATAATAATACTAATAATACTAATAATAATTTTTCCTTCGGTCTCATTCCAAGATTATTCTTAACAATAAACTAATAAATAATAAAGCTTTTGATCATTCTGTTAGTATTTATACCCCTCTTACCCACATTTCATACTATCTTAATTTTTCAATCCTATACTATCACCGAGGGTAAAGCAAGCATA